TTTTTTTTTTTTTTTTTGGTACCAGGGATCGAACTTGGGCCCTTGCACTTGTGAGACAAATCCCCGGCTCTCCTCCTGTGTTTTATAATAATCTTGGATTAAAAACTCATCTTTGACATCTGCACATGCTTGAGTGAGGGTGTATACCTAAGATATCATATCCACAACACTGTTGATAGGAATTTAGTAGCCTGGTAGTTTCTGGTACATAATTTGAACTTCATATCCATAACTTGATTTCACAAGACAAGTGCATGTTTTTGTTTTCATCCTAGACCTGGTTAAGCAGGCATCTTTTTAAACATTTATTTATTTTTTATCAATAAACACTTTCTACATTATTCTTTCTCTGAAATTGAAGCCCTTTAATGATTGTATACCACAGTCTTGGGTTTCTCCTCTCTAGGACTATCTTCTGTGTTGACATGGGCACAAAAACACCGGCTTTAGATATAGAAATCCGTGCCTATAATCCAAGCACTCTGGAAGGATGAGGCAAGAGGATTGAAAATTCAAACTTAGCAAGACCATGTTTCAGAATAAAAAATGAAAGGTCCTAGGTTTAATCCTCAGTGCCACTAAATGAATAAGCAAGTAAACAAATGCAAAAAAAACCCAAAAAACAAAAACCTTAGTGTAATGAAACTCACAGCAGTAGAGATACCAGTAAAACTGCTGCAGTGTGATGACCTCTGAGTCTAGACGCATGGGGAGGCCTGCAGGCTCCTGTCATTGTTTTTATCCTGGTGATGTGAAAAGCCCGGCTTGGCTTTTCAGCTTTCCAGTGGGTACATTCTAGTGCATCTACTTATTCATTCTGTAAGCATTTCCTGAGTGTCTGCATGCCAGGCATAGTATTAGACACTGCCACACAGACTGTCACATTTATTTCCAACAATAACTGTGAGGGTGGTATTTTTATCCTCATTTTACACAGATAAGCTGATGGGAGCTTAGGGTCACTCATGGACATGTTCAACATGTGCAGCTTGCACGTGTCAGACCTGAGTTGAGACACAGGACTTCAGATGCTAGAGCATGATGCTTCCTACTGCATCATGTGTCTCACCACTGGACAAGTCCCACCTTGTCATGTCTGTTCCTTCCTCTTTCTAGCAGGTGGCAGCTGAGTGCATCCATGACTCTGGGACTGGTCACATATTCACATTTGTAAATGCCCCCTCTCTTCTCTCCCACCACAGGAAGGATATTTAACGAACCCAAGAAGCCTCTGGGAAGACTATCCACATGTGTATCTCTCGTGAGTATTTGCGTGCCTTGGTCTCCAGGGAGGAGTGAGCTGGCACTTGGCTTCTCAGTATGTGGCCAGCTGGTGGGGGACTAGATCATGTCCTGAGCCTATCAGGGCATGGCATGAGGACAGTAGGCCCATCATGATCGACAGGAGAACCCCAGATGCTTTGTCCCCTGCACTATACAGAGCACCCCCAGAGCCTTAAGTGCATGGGACAGATGCAAAGCAAAACCCTCTGTCAGGGCCTCTAGCTTTGTGCCTCCTTGCTGACCCCTCACATTCACAGCAGTCTTTGCTCTCTCAAATGGAGCATCCTTGCCTCTCTGCTGCTGTCGGGACCTGGCCTGACTCACACAGGAGGCTGTGCTGTGTTTCTCCTTAGGCCTTTCAGAGAAACATTAGCAAAGGACAGAGAGCTGGGCTCAATCTTCCATTGCTACAAGGGCCACAGTGGCTCAGTGTGTTCAGAGTGGGGATTCAGTGTTCACAGTATCCTGTGATCAGCTTTGCTTGTCTAGGCTGAAGAGCTCCTCACCCCACAGGCTTTTAATCACTCCCGTTTTTTTCCTTGTCTTTTCCCTGTCCCTTTATATGGTCCTGGGTCCTCACACAGCCTTGGCCATCTTTTCTCTGTGCACTCAGTAAACCCTTTGGGGGCAATTTAACTGGGTCCTACCCATGTGATTTGCTTTCTGCCTCCAGCTTCCAGGTGAAGTTTTTCTACCTGTGCCAGCTGGCCTACTGGCTACATGCCTTTCCTGAGCTTTACTTCCAGAAGGTACGAAAGGTCAGTACTCTACCCACCCTTCCTGGAGGCCCTGTTCTTCATGTCCCTCCTCCTGTTCCTGTGGTGCACTTCCTTTCCTCCAGAAGCAGGAGTGATGTGGAACTGTGTGCTGAAGCTGTCCAGCCTAGGGAGGTGGGGGCCTGACCCTTCCTCCTCCTTCTGCATTTCCCTTCCATGCCCTGCATCTTCAGCAGGGAATAAGCAGTCACTGTCTGCTTCTTTTGTTTCTAGGAGGAAATTCCCCGCCAGCTCCAGTATATTTGCCTGTACCTGGTCCACATAGCCGGAGCATACCTCTTAAAGTAAGTGAGGCCTGGAACAGCCAGGTTTCCTTGCCCTTTTTATGCCCTTGAGTCTATCCGTAGTTATTCACTCAGCAGGCATTTATTAGGTACCATCTGTTGCTGAGTACTATGCTGAGACTTAGGAGTACAAAGAAGGATGACGATTCCTTTGTTTTCAGTGGTTCATCCTCACCTAGTGGGACAGACAGACTAGGACAGGACAGTTTACTGCAAGAAGCCCTGTGATTAAGCACGTACCATTGACCATGGGAGCCAGGGAAGACTTCTGTGTTGGCCTTGACCCACAACTTTGAAGCTTGAAGGCAGCTGAAGCTGGGCTTCTGCTTCACAGGGTCCAGATGCCACTGGAGTCCATACCCTTGGATTCTCTTTTCTTTGGTTTGTAATAAAATGGAAAGTAGTTCACTGTGTGGTGGTTCTAGAAGTAATAAGCAGTACTGTAGTGTTTGACCTATGATTTTATGAAAAGAATCATGCTGATTCTGGTGCAGTGTGCTGCACCATTGACAAATTTGGAATTGTCTATCTTTATCCCTGCAGGGTGGGAAAACAGCTGGTACTTTCTCCAGGCTAGGACTTGAGAGCTTGCTACATGTAACTTTTGCCGAGGACCTGTAGGCCCCTGGACCTGTCTCCAGAATTCCCATAGCGATGTCCTGTGACAGTGACTGACTTGGGTTCATGACTGACTTAGAGGGCAGTGTCTTTTACTCTGTCTCCTGTCTGTGTGGCTCAGTTCTGCTCTAATTTTGGGTGACATGGTCCATGCAGAGTGGGTCAGTGGAAGTTGGTCTGTGCTGTTCCCCTGGTGCTGTGTGCTGAGCATAGGAGGTCGCCTGGTGCTCCACAAGTGTGAGCACTGGGGTAATGAGTAGCCACACAGCAGGAACCCTTCGCATTTCCCCCGTCGGGGCTCAGAAGACTTGATCTGAGCCCCTGTAATGGTCTTGGTTCTGACAGGGTGCTGATTGGAAGGTGCAGAAGCTCAGCCAAGGCTGGGAGCAGGTGAGGGCCCAGATCTGGACGGGATCAGCCAAGAGCAGGGCCAGTCTTAGGGAGCATTCCTAAAGGTGCAACAGCTCAACTGCATCCTAAGGGACAGGACAAGGCCAGTGAGGAAGTGGAGTCCAGGCACAGGGGACACTGGGAGCCCAGAGGGGCTGATGGATTCCACCCTGACTTTTCCCTCTGCAGTTTGAGCCGCCTGGGCCTCATCCTGCTGCTGCTGCAGTACTCAACGGAGTTCCTCTTCTACTTGTCTCGACTCTTCTACTTTGCAGATGAGAACAATGAGAAGCTGTAAGTGAGGCTGCTGGGGGATACTTGGGGGGCTGAGCATCAGAGGCTCCCACCTGGGTGTAAGCTGCTCATCCTAGGTTGTTCTTTCCCTGGAGTATCATAATTTAGACATCTTGAATGCCTTCTCAGGCCCCCCTTGAGGCCTTTTCCTACTCAGAGTTGCTTCTGGATACGTGGGTGAGGGTTGCTTCAAGGGTCCTAAATGCTGATGTCACTCCTCTGCCTCTGCGAGCAGGTTTAATGCCTGGGCTGCTGTATTTGGGGTCACGCGCCTCTTCATCCTCACGCTTGCCGTGCTGGCCATCGGCTTTGGACTGGCTCGCACAGAAAACCAGGCATTTGACCCTGAGAAAGGGAGCTTCAACACCTTGCTTTGCAGGTGAGTTGGAAAGGAGCCCAAAGTGGGCCAGGAGCCTCCTGAACTTGGCACAACTTCCGCAGAAGGTCAGGAGGTGGCAGACCCTCGAGTCTCCCACACACTGATGTTTAGCTGGAAATCTCCAGACATCGGGCCTGAGGAAGAAGATGCCTCCTCCTTCCTTCAGAACCCTCGTCACTCCCTGGCTGTGGTCTGCTCAGGCTTTAGTCAGGGACTTAGTCCAGTGCAGATTCCTTTACTTTTGCCCAGTGTGTCAAGAGTTTTTTCTTCCAGTCTGTCAGCTGATCATTAAAACCATGCATAGGGTTTTTATTGCCAAAATGAAACCCATTAATATGTATAGCCAGTATGCAAATACTAAAAATTGTTTTTGTTTTTTTGAGACAGGGTCTCACTATGTAGTTGAGACTGATCTGGAATTCACTAGGTAGCCCAGGCTGATCTCGAACTCACAGCGATCCTCCTGCCTCTGCCTCCCGAGTGCTGAGATTACAGGCATGTGCCACCACGCCTGGAGCAAATATTAAAAATTGTGTGTGGGGAGGAACCTGTGGTGTCCGTGGCTTGGGCAGTGGCCTTCCTACCAGCAAGGATGGCAGCCAAGAGGCTGTGTTTCCATGAGCCCACAGGCCTGGCAGGCATGTGATCTGTCCACATTTGCTGTACCTTTGAGTGACATGCCAGACAAGAAGCTACTTGTGCAGAATTATTTCTACCATATCATAATTCAGTTCATTTGAAGCCCGCAAATATTTGTGGCGTTTGCATCCACCTTACGTGATACTGTGGATACTAAAGCAGTATGGTTGGGGACCCTCGGCATGTGAGTCATGGGGGTATGGGGCTGGAGGGCTGCTGTCGCTGTCTCTGTTCTGTCTCCCCAGATAGTCCCTTCACACTTCCGAGGGTGCCAGAGCACAGCCTGACCCCAAGACTCCAACCCTCCTGGTAGTAGGAGGCTGAAAGCTGCAGGCTCCCTCCCTTGCCTCCCTTGAGCCCCCTCTGCCTTCTGCAGGCTCTGCATGCTGCTGCTGGTGTGCGCTGCCCAGGCCTGGCTTATGTGGCGCTTCATCCACTCCCAGCTGCGACACTGGCGGGAATACTGGAACGAGCAGAATGCCAAGCGGAGAGTCCCAGCTGTCCCCAGGCTCCCAGCCAGGCTCACCAAGAGGGAATCTGGTGAGTGCCAGGCCCCGTAGCCCGGAGAGCGTGGGTGAGGTCTGTCAGGATGGGGGGAGGAGCCAGGGCTCTTGTGCACTTCTCACACCAGTCCTGTGGCTCCTCCTTCCCGACTGCTTCCCTGGGCCTGGAGCTCCCTGACTGGCGCGTGGCTGGGCTTGGGCCAGGGACGGTGTGGGTAGGGCTGGCCCAAACTAGGCCCGGAGCCCTGGTGAGGACCTCTGGCGGGAACTGTGTCCTCAGGGTAGCTCCTGGAGCCCAGCCAAGTTTTGTTTCTGCCGCCGCCACCGCCGCCCATGCACTGTACTCCAGCGACCAGCCATGCCCTCGCCTGCCCCTGTGCCCTACATCCGGGCCTGCCCGTGCCCCTTGGGTGGGTGGCTCTTCTGTCTCCAGCAGTGACTCATGGTGACACAGTGTTTAGTGGGCAGCAGGGGTGGGACACCCATTTCTTTGGACCTTGCGCACACTCCAGTAATCACCTGGAGTGTGTGCTTTTTGCTGTGTACTTTCTGGCCAGCCGTGGGGCCTGTCTGCAGCAGTATCTGTTTTCTGACTCATCTGCTTTCCTCCAAGCAGCCACCTGCTTGGCAAGGGCTCCTGCGTTTGAGGCAGACTTGTGCATAGCTGTGTGTGCTGAGGAGGCAGCCTGGGCAGGGGCGTGGTATGGGCTGCAGCAGACCTAGCACTTGGAGGTGTTTCACAGCAATAAAAGCATGCTTCTTCTGCCACAGTGTTAGGCATCTGTGGAAAGTGTTTCCCTATGGCCTCCTGTGCCTCCTCTCTTCTGTTGCCACTGTTCTGAGTTGTTAGCGCCCTGAGGGACCTGAGAGGAAGCGAGGACACTGGCAGCCTCTAAGTGATTCCAGCCAGCTTCTGCCCTGGTTCAGGGCTGTTTCTGGGTTTTTGTATGTGAGCCGAGGCCACCCTGGTAAAGAACAGCTACCAAGCTCCTTAAACAGGGGCTCTTGTCTAAGACACTGGGGGAGCAGGACCCTGCTGGGATCAGTCTGCTGGCTTCCACTGCTTCGGGGAGCCTCAGCCTGGTGCCCTCCGGCAGCCCCACATGCCTTCCCTGGAGCAGCCCTACTCTCCGTTCTCCTCCACAGTCCCAGCGGAATCCCACATGTGTCTGTCTCTCTCCACTCCCCAGGTTACCATGAAAATGGAGTGGTGAAAGCAGAGAATGGAACCTCCCCACGGACTAAGAAACTCAAGTCTCCTTAAGGCCAAAGTGCTGAGAACAGGAATCCTTGGTGGGGGCCTGGCCAGGAGGCAGAGCCCAGGCCCCGCACTGCCTCCTCCTTCCTCCTCGAAGCGCTCCATCTCAGTCCGCAGGAACCTGACTTCAAAGGGGGTTTTCCTTTCATATTTCTTGGCTTTCTCTTCTTATTCTTCCACATACTTTTCTCAATAAAGCCAAAAATCTTTCTCTCTCACTCCCTCAAGCCACCTCGTGGCTTCACCTCTGTCCTGTGTTGGGTTTTCTGGAAGCCTAGATTCTCATGGTTCTTTTTCAGCTTACCTCTTCTTTCTCTTCATTCATGGCTGCTTCTTTTTCTTTTTAGTTCTTAATTTTACCTTAACGTGCAGTTTTTCTGTCTGATTTTTACAATGGGAGGGAGCTAAGGTGCAGTCCTGCCTGTGAGTTGCAGGAGCTGTCAATCTGGAAGCCTCACGCCAAGGAGCTTTGCCTGGGGCCAGAGGCTGGCCCGGCAGTAGTCCTTGTGTGGAGGGGCAGGAAGAGGAGAGCCCTCCTGGATCACAACCTCCTTGGTGCTGATTGATGTGGAGATGAATGATTCCGGTCCCTGGAGAACCAGCTGGAGACATGGCAGCTGCTGCTGGTTGGGAATGATGCTGAAGCCTTTGGCTCTGGCTCCTGGGAACTCCATCTAGAAGGACATTGCTCATTCTGTAGGTCTCATGACTGAAGAGAGCTCACCAGCAGCCTTGGGCTGGAAATGGCCTGCACTTGCTGAGGGAGTACATGCTGAAGGAGGATACGTCTTCCCACTTGTAGAGCAAGAGCCAAGCGTGCCAAGCAGCAGGCACTTCTGGAAATGTAACAGACAAGACAGGAAGGACAGCACAGTCAACTTGGGCCTTTCTTCACTGGTGCCGGCAGCCATGTGTCTTTGGCCATTCACCAGCATTCAAAACCAAGTCAAACAGCTGTTAGCAGACCTGCCCCAGAGGTGCTGGTCTAAAGCCTAGAACCAGCCAGCCCTGTTGGCCAGCCTTGCTACCTGGACTTCATCTCTCCACCTGCAGAGACATAGCCCCACACCAGTCCCCAGTGTCCCAGGGAGGGTCACCTGGTCACCTTCCCTTTGGCCTCACTTGTTGAGTGCTCTTTGGAGTTGTCATTTGGTGATGTGTGTCAAGCACACCCACAGTATAGAACCAGGACTGATTCAGTCACTTTTTGTTTGGATGAGCAGGTGCAGCTGTGTCGACAGGAATCTTTCGTTCCCCTCCCACCAGTATTCTTTCCTCCCTGTCTATGAGAAGATGGGGCTGCCAGGTCCTTAAGGTGCTTTGTGAGGACTTCCAGCAGGGGAGGTAGGCTTCTAGAGGTCCTGATTAAGAACCCTTGAACTCTGTGCTGAGGCAAAGGGGAGCACCGGGTGGCACAGGAATGTTAATGTCACCGGGTATACTAGTGCTCTTGCTGACATCATAGTAGAAGCCAGACCTTGGGGGTTTTTAACCAAAAAAGAGGGAGATGGATCTTTTCATGAGACCTCCCCTTCTCTAGGGCACCTGTATTGCAAAGTCAGACTTACCAGTAACTGAGAGATTTGTTTCCAGACACCATTTTAGACTGTTACTTCTCTGCCCAGGATAAGCATGTAGAATTGGGAAGAATACACTTGGTTTCTTTCAATTATTTTTAGGAAGCAGGATAGCATTTTTGAAAGCAGGCGTCTCCTGCTTCCCTCTCTTTCCTTCTGGGCGTTAAGAGCAGCTTGGTATGGACTCAGCAGAGTTGACCAGGGCCCCTTAGCCACGTGCTCCCTGACCTGCTTGGAACTGCTTGTGGAGGTGGGGTACAGCCAGCAGCCTCTAGGCCCACCCTCCTCCCCCAGGAGCCTAGGTGCCCTGCTGGGTTTTCCCCAGGCTGTGTCACTGTTGGGGCTGTACCAGCTCTCTTCAGGAAGCCTCTTGCCCTCTGCCCCCCAGGAGCCCTGGCCGAGCAGCTGTTATATGCTGGTGATGTGCTGTGAGAGGGGAGTTCATGGTAATCAGAGTTGCTGCCCTCTTGGTTCTAGCAGCCCCATTGTACATATAGATCTCCATTGCTCTGTGCCTGGATACCTGGGTACCAGAGATGACATGCCTTCATTCTCCCTCAGTCTTCTACAAGCATCTGGTGCTACCAGTTCATTGTGCCTTGGTGTGATACCACAAACCCGGGGTCCGGGGTTGCCTTAGGGCCTGTTTCCTAAAGGACAAATATTTGCTCAGTGACAGGAGATGGTAAATCTTTCCTGTGTTCAAAGAAAAAACCATGAGAACATGAATAAGGGTGATAGCTCACCAGCTTGGGCTTCAGGGATGTTTGGGTGGCTTAGAGGGTAATTATAGGGTACTTTCTCACCCCTGCTAGTCTCCTTGGCATATTTATGTCATAGCAAAACTAAGTCATTATCAAATTGGCACCTGCCAGGCCTCAAGTCACTCAATTCTGCTTTATCCTGTGAGTATTTTGGACTAGCTTGTACCACTTTTGGCATGTTGACTACTTTCTTCATTTTTCTGTAGTCTTTCCTATCTCTAAACAAAGTGCCAAACCAATTGTGAGACCCCTGTCAGATCCCTCCTGGTTTTAGAGGCCAGCGCAGCACCATCCACCAAGGGCAGAAGATGCTAATCTACCTCAGCAGTCACAGCGCCTCTCAACATCCCTCCCTGGCACACCTGTGTGGGGACACCGGCAGATGGCAGTGGTGGGAGAGCTTGGCCTTTAGAGGAAGGAGCACTTCCTAGGGTTGATTCCCCTCTTGGAGTTCAGTGATGGGAAGGTTATTTTTAGCACTCAGGCTATGATAGTTATACTATTAATAATTCTGCATTCCTCTTGAAGGTAGGGTGGCTCTGGGGGAAAGGGGATCAGTCCTAGCCCTGAGTTCTCCTGGGCTACCTGACATAAATGGTTGCTGAGAGGGTTGCCTATTCCTGTCTCAAAGCAGAACCTAGCAACTCCTAGGAAACCAGGTTAGACACCTGTGCTCTGGCCTCCTTTATCCATGCTTTTCTCAGCTAGAATCCTGGGACTCTTGAGAGCCACTGACACCAGGGACTTCTAAGGTTGTGCTTCTAGGTTTTCTTTTGGGACCTCCTTCGTAAGTCCACCTTGACCTTTTTTCTAAGTGGCAAATAAGTAGGAACAGAGAGTATGTGACCTCCAGAAATTCCATCATCATACTGTTTCACAGATGCTTTTATTAATAGAGGATTGTTGGTCCCCTGTGGCTGGGGAAGGCCTTTGGGTTTATTTTCTATGCTTCAGCTTTCCCAGTTGGTTTTGCTGAGGTGGGAGAAGACATGGGAGTCTGGATATAGCTAACTTCCCTTGCCTGCCTACGAGCCTTCATGTCTCAAGGGGGACAGACTTTAGAACTTAGCCTCCTGTTCTTGCTGGAGAGTATGGAAAACCAGCTGGGTAGTCTTTCACCCCCACTGCCTCCCAAGTTTACAACCCCTTTCTTTGTGAGAGGCCTTTGGGGTTAATGGAGAATGAGGTCATTGTTGGTTCACTTAAGTACCAATAGGATCCCTCTTCAGCCAGTGGTTGGCCCTGTCTGGGAGCCTTTGTAGCCTTTCACCCTACACCCTGATTCCTGCATGAGGGTTACCTTCCATGTCCCAGGAGACTGATAAGCGCCCCGCTCTGCTGCTGCACCTCCCACCCCTCACTGTACAGAGGTTGCCCATCACAGCCACGGGACAGTGGGACCCATGGGCTGTCATTTCATGCTCGGGGCTTCTGTCCTGGTCCTGACCAAATCCTGATTCCTTTTGTATCGCAAGTGCCTTACATTTCTGTGTGCCTTCATCTGTATTATGTGGCCAGCTGCCAGCTGCTGGGCCTATAGGACTGATGGGTACATGTAGCCACAGACACTACCTCAAGAGGTAATGCAGGAGAGGGACATGGACTCACGGTGTCACCTCATCTGTCCCCTTCCCTCAGAGAGGTAGTGCCTGGTGTTCCCTGCACTGTTTCTGTTTTTTCCCTTGGAACCCCCCACCACCCCTACCTGGCTGCATGGCTGTGAAGCCTTAGGTAGCTCACAGTAGGGCCCTGTGCCTTGTACTTACTGATGAAGCCCAGGGCTTCAGCACATCCAGCCCCCTGTGCCTCTGGCCCTGCCCGGTCCCTCCATTCCAGGGTAGAAACAGGTGGCCTTGCTACATCCTCCTCCCACCCATGTCACTTCCTATACAGCCCAAAGTTCCTGTGAGGAAGAAGTTTACGGCACTCCCTAGTCCAAGGGTTGTGCGTAGTTGACGTTTGACAGTGGGTCTGGACCACAGCTGCAAACCTGCTGACTCCCAAGTCAGGTAGTCTTGTGTGGCAACAGCCCTTCCCTGTCCCCATTCCTTCGGGTTGTGCAATAACTGCCCACCAGTGGTCTTTCTGTAGGCTTTCCTGTCCCTTACAACACCCTGAAGTAAGGGGAAAGGGGACCCATGGGAGGGGTTATTCCTTACAGAAAATGTGTTGTCCACTTTTACTTTGTTGCTGTCATTCTCATGGTCCTGGGAGGGTTTCTGTGGCACTCTTGTAGAACATTTACTATCATCATCTTAGAAGTCCTTACATTAAAAAAAAAAAAAAATCTTTGAAAGGAAAAAACTATCCTCAGGATGGGACCCAAGTCATTGTCTGGAATTCAGCTGTTCTGATGCTGGTGGCATCACCACCACTCTACTTAGAGAATTCCACAGTTTCTTGTTCTTCTGGAGAAGATGGAGATGTCTTGGGAATCGGCTATGGGTGGCAGGCCCTGTCCACTTGCTAGGATCTGGCTGTGGTGGTATCACCATCTGCTGGGTACAGATTCCAGTGTTTGTGTTGAGACTGGAAACCTCACTTTACAGTTCCTCTGTTTAATAAACCCCTGAAGGATGAGCTGAGGCAGCTGGTACCCAGAGCAACTCATAATGCAAACGTGGACACATTGTTTTTCTACTTTAACGTCATGTTATGGACCAAACTGCAACAAGGAACTCAAGGAACATTTGTACCTGCCATATTTATGCTTTCATGTAAAAGGGTTGGGGGGAGGGGTGTCTTTTTACTTTTGGTAAACTTTTCAAAATCCTTTTTCCACTGTTTCTGTCTGGTTTTAAAGCAAATTACAGTTTTGTATGGATTTTTTAAATGTACATTTTGAAACAAATCAAATATTTTCTGAAATAACTGAATAAAAGGCATAGAATTATCAGTCTTTGTTCTCTCTGGTCTAATTCCTTCATGTACTTTTATAAATACTCTTGGCTTTTACTTGAAAATGAGTTTGAATCAGTTTTAGCTCTGTTGTCTAAAAGTTCTCCATGAGTCATTTCTTCTATTTATTGAGATAGGGCTGTCCATTGTGATAGGAATCAGGGAATTGGAATAAAAGATGAGGAGCCAGCTATATCAAGTACTGGATAGTATCAGGCATCATTTTTATTTATTGCATAACAGGAAAGTGGAAAAGGGTTTTCTTAGCATGGGCAGGATGCTCCAGAAGGAAGTCCCCACATGTAATGCCTGATGGGGAGTCAATTGCCTTGGAGAGATGAGGTTCGATGTATATGGAAAAGGCCTTGGATAAGTTGGTGCCCACCAGAAGATGGCCCAGTATTAGTAATACTAGTGGGCAGTGGGGATTGCTGCTGTCACTTAAATAGCCAGGGCTGCTTTGCTGTGTTTTCTAGAACCTCCGAGAGAGTTTAGGAGGTGAGTGGAGCTACAGGTGGGGCGCACACTGAGAATGACAAGGACACGCTTACGTCGGGTGAGGGTGAGTGGTACTAATAGCAGGCACACTTCGGTGCAGACTTCACGCTGCGTGAAGAGCTGGGAGACCCCAGCAGTTAACCTTAGTCTGCTTATCTGTCTCTTCTGGGTTCATTTTTGTTTCCTGAGGGATGGTGAATGGATACAGAGAATACTGTGTTCATGGAACAAATTAAACTATATATTTTTCCAGTGAACATATTCATACTTACGTGTCATCAGGATACTTGGTAGTCACCTAACATTTAGAGAAGTCTTCTCTACCTATTGGTCTCAAATATCCTCAAAGCATATACATATGGATTTGATAGACTTTAGTTATTTAAGGCCCTTAGTGCTACAGGGTACAGCCTCACACTTCAGCAGCTAACACAGAGCCAATTTCCACCCTCCTCAAGCCTCCACAGGGAGGTTTTTGTTTTTGTTTTTGTTTTTAAGCCCTGAAGCCCTTGAAGCCTTAAGCCACCCCAGTCAGTTGTAGATACATCCTTCAGTTAAATTTGATAGCCAGAGCTACCAGTGTTCCTCCACCAAAAACACAACTGCTAATGCTAATATGCTCTGATTCAAGTCCAGGGGATCATTTCTTCCCACAGTATTGTTTGGTACAGGCTGATAGTCAGCTCTTTTCCATCACGTGAGCTCAGAACTCCAGATGTACGGCAGCTGTGACTATAGCACATGATGACTAGTGAAATCTAATTTGCCCTGCCTTGTATAATCTTAAGAGTCAATTAGTGAATGTGAGGATGCCACATAAATGACCTGCAGGCTGTGGTCCTTCCCAAAGTAGCTTTCACACCTCAGAATGGTGCTGAGATCTTATCTCCCAATCATGGGTAAACCTGGATGGAGAAGACAAAGAGTGGAAAGCAAGCTTAGAGACTTCTAACAACCAGGGCTTCGGACAGTGGGGCTGGCATGATAATACTAGGCCCCACTGTATTCACTATTGTACCTAGTGGAAAAAATAAAGAGAAAGAGATGAGCAGTCAGGACTGAAGTGAAAGGGCTGTGAATGCTTGCTTGGATTTCAAAGGGTGGGTAAGAGGGTATTAAACGAGACTTTCCCAAATCTCCATTTCAGCTCAGGCCCAAAGCTGAGCATAAAAATGGAAAGTACTTCCATATGCTGCCAACTGCGTGGATTTATGAAAGATGTTCTGAAGAGGGGCCCAAAGCTTTGGTGAACTTTTCCACAAGAGGCAGGAGTGATGGAGAGAGAACTGACAGCGCACTTTTTCTAATCAGGCTGTCGGCATCTGTGACTGAGGGGATGCTTTGACAGACTTGGAGAGACATGTGTCCTGGACCTGGAGAGCACAGATTTAGGCTACCTGACTCTCACCTAAAACAAGTCTGAAGGGCAGGGGTTGAGCTGCATAACTGCACAGCTAAGTATCTCCCTCTCTCTCTCCGCACTTTTAACTATTGTCCTAACTGGACAAAGCGGCAGCAGCCAAAGGAAGCGGTAAGCTGTCCCTCTGTCTCAACACGTACAACACACTCTCTTTACTAGAGGCTTCCAGGCCTGGGGCAAGTGGGGTACAGCTGAGTATTTAGTTTGTTTAGTAGTGCTGGGGATCAAACCTAGGGCCTCCGGCATGGTAGGCAAGCTACCCCTGAGCTGCATCCCCAGTTCAGCACTTAGTATTTTCTTGATTGAAATAAATTTTTAAATACATGAAACTTTTGTTTTGTTTTTTGGTTTTTTTTTTTTTTGAGACAGGGTCTTGCTTTGTAATTTCAGGCTGGTCCTGAACTCACTATGTAGCCCAGGCTAGCCTTGAACTCATGACGATCCTCCTGCCTCTGCCTCCCAAGTGCTGGGATTACAGGTGTACACCAGCACACCCAGCCCAAATACATGAAACTTTTAAAAACAGTTGAGTGATTGAAAAAAATAAAATGAAATATGGGTTCTTCCTGAGGCACTGTACCAATCTGGAACAGAAAGGGAGTCAATACATTTATAGCCCTTAAAGTGGTTATATGGGCCTTAGCTCATTAGGAAAGAAAAAAGCAATGGGAAGTTCTCCAGCCGTTACAATGGGTGGTCCTATACAACTCTTCATTTCACATTTTGGCATGCCAGGGAGGAATCGGAAATGTTGTGGGTTGTCTTTGTTTGTTGAGACAGGGCCTCACGATGTAGTTTGGGTTGGCCTTGAACTCACAGTGATCCTCCTGCCTCTACCTCCTGAGGAAATGGCATTTTTAAAGATGACTCCAACTAAGGAGTAGTCCTGGCTCGAAAAGTCAGAGCTCATTAGAGAACTGCTGCTAGTCTCCTTTTTGGTCAGGCTCTCAAAAAGCAGTGTTTTTTCTTTCTTTCCTTCTTTTCTTCACCTTTCTTTCCTTTTTCTCTTTTCTTCCTTCCTTTCTTTTTTTTCTGAAACTGACATGAATACATTTTACATCATAATCAGTGAACATGAACTCAATTGAAACAGGAGTTTCATACAAATATACACCATGGCATATGTATTGCGCTGATCAGCCTAGGATCACAGCTTGAAATACACGTAGAATACGTCCCTGTAATATTGGGGGAAGCAGATGGTAGTGGTGGGCCACTGGATGGTAGCAACAGTGATTCCGTACACTTACTTCCAACATCACAGATGTTTCTACAGAACTTCCATCAGTTCTTCTGTTAATCATTCCACATCTTTATCATAGTTTTTCAGAGAAACATAAGTACTAGAATTTAGGAGACTGGAGGATAAACGTGTATGTATGACACACAGAGACTGGTTGATTATAAGAAGTGGCTCCTGTGATTATAGAAGCTGACAGTTCCCAAGATCTGCAGGGTGACTTAGCTACCTGGAGGTCCAGGAAAGCAGAGGGTGTAGCTCCATTCTGAGTCCAAAACCCTGAGACCCAGGAGAGCTGGTTTTAAGTCAGGAAAAGTCCATGTCACAGTTGGAAGACAGTGAGGCCGGAATTCTGTTACTCAAAGGATGGTCAGTTGGCCTTCTGATCTATTCAGGTCTTTACATGACTGAGCGAGGCCCACCCACTTTAGGTCAGGCAATCTGCCTTAGTCACCAGTTCAAATGTTAATTCAATCCCAAGCACCCTCACACACACACTCAGAATAATGTTGGTTGGATACCTGG